AGTCATCAAAATAATTCTTTAACTATCCTTAATAGTGGTAAAATCTTGAAGGTAGAACTGAGTTTTACAACCATGCAGAAATTATTCTGCCAAATTCAGCAAAAAAAGCAGAGTTACAAGTTAGCTTGTTTTAAAAAAAACACAAACAAAAAAACAAGTGTTTATGAAAGTGATCATACTTTTTATTTTGCTTGTAAATTGACTAGAAATTTCAAAAGATTCAAAATAACTTTGAATTACAGCAACACTATTTGAGTAAGTTTTGGGCTTCTTGAGGTGACTACTTGGAACGACTACTCTAAAAATATAAATGACAGCATGTTTAGTGAGGGAAAGTGTTTCATGATTCTATAGTTACATTTTGAAGTTACAAAACTGCTTTCTTCCTTGGAGTTCACACTATTTTCCAGACACTACATTAATTCTCCAAATATCCCTCTGAAGGAAAGGACAGGTCATCATTCTTTTTTCAGGTGGTTGAAAAGAGACGCCATAAGAGAAAGAGAATTGTGTTTATTCCATGAAGCCACAAGAATGGCTAGGCACAGTCTCCTAAAATTTGTGCTGTGTAGTTATAAAACTATAAGTGTAATTTCTTAATCTTTTTTTTTTTTTTTTTTTTTGAGTTGGAGTCTCACTCTGTCACCCAGACTGCAGTGCAGTGGCCACTTCTGGCCACCGCAGCCTCGACCTGCTGGGCTTCAGTGATCCTTCCACCTCAGCCTTCCGAGTAGCCAGAATTACAGGCGCATGCTACCACGCCCAGCTAATTTTTTGATTTATTGTAGAGATGAGGTCTCGCCTGCCCAGGCAGGTCTCAAACCCGCGGGCTCAGGCAATCCACTCACCTTAGCCTCCCAAAGGCGCAGGATTACAGGCTGAGCCACCGAGCCCGGCTACAGCGCTTTTTGTAACAGCAAAAGACAAAAATAACCCAAGAGCCACGAGTAGGAAACTGGTCAAATAAATTATGGTACATCCACATAAGGAGGACTTTTCAGCTGAGGAAAGAAATAAGGACTATTTCTACATACTGCTATAGAATAAACTCCAGGATATACTACTGAGCAAAAAAAGTAAAGTGGATAAAAGTATGTATAGGATGCTCCCAGAGTATAATGGCAGGATGGGCAGAGAATAACAGTTATGGACATTCTCATTCCAAGACAAGAAAATGGAAGAAAGCAATCTTGAAATCTGACTGGGCAACTTCCATTAGATTTCAAGGCCTGAAAATAATCATTTGTGTCTCTTGCCTCTGGTCTTCTGGGCTTGATTTTATCCTTGGAGTCTTCCTTGCTTTTTCTCCAGTCTATCTCCTGCCTGTATAATTTTGAGAGTTCAAAAGCCTCTTTCATTTTGTCCTGTCTCTTTTAGGTCAAGCTGGCATTGTTTCTGCTAATATAACATTCTCAAAAACATTGTGGGTTTCCCGAGTATGTCATGGAATTCCATTAGAAAAAAGGTTCCTTCACAGCCCTTTCCTGAATAATCCCATCTCTATTCCTGGTTTCTGAAATATTT